TTGATCGGGCGGGTTAATCGGGTCGGGCTATGTTTTGACACATATAATGGTAACTGATTGTAGAAAGTAGTGAAAGATGATAAATGATGGTTAGTTTATTTCTCCAATCATTCATACCACCATGGTATAATCTTATGTACTTCATTTTGATCAATTCAAGAGTTTTCAAGCTCCCAACTAACTGAATAAATCTTAAACGGGTAATGTCTATTTTTTATTCAAATATTTTTTGGATTGTTTTATATTATCCAAACCTATCGAAATACTAAGAGTTAGCCAAATATTAACTTTCAGTTAGCAATTTTGTTAGTAATATTGACTTGGCAATATGATACTGACTTGAAAGAGACACATGAAGGTCAACATTCCAAAATTTTAGTATTTTAACTAAGAAAATAGTTACAAAATTATTAACGATAATGTAAAATGGTTAATATTTTCATGCATTACGAAATATTTGGCTAATTAATAACATTTTAATAGGTTTGAATAATATAAAAGAATCTAAAAAAGGTTTGGATAAAAAATAGACATCACCCATCTTAAAATTTAGAAAATGAAGTAAGAAGATTAGAAGTTCATCACTTGTCTCTATCGTTGAGTGGATCGGGATTTTCCGATCCATTTGATTTCATAATCATCTTTTCCAAGTCAAAATTATATTTTTTGCTCGAAAAAAATCCAAACCCTTGTTCCATCTATTATTCTGAATGTTATGGTTTGTTGAGTCAATTGGGTGCTTGGAAACTTTTGAATTGGTGCAAAATATGCTCTAGAATGCTTGAACGAGAGCCGTGATACATTTCCATTAAAAAAAAAATGAACAAGATGGTTATAGAACTATCAACTTTATAACTCCATGTTCAAAAAATTGCTCAATAGAAATGGAATGAGCACCAACCCTTTCATATCGTAACAAAATCTTTACACTTATCTTCATAAGGTAACCAAATGGACATAAAGAATTTAAACATAAGTCTACAATGTCAAATGAGTTCAGAGGGTTGAGCTAGATCGGTCAGTTGGTCTGGATGGTGAGATAAAAATTTTGTTTTTATATTTTTATATTGCTTTAGTGAATTTTGGATGAAAAATTGATGAAAATTATCATTTTATTATACACCCAAATCTATGTTACTGAATCGTACAAAATAATAATAAAAATATGGCTAAATTACACGTATGGTCACTCAAATTACATAAATTTTTCATGTTTGGCACTCGAATTACTTTTCTTTCTTATTAACCATTAACTTTACAAATCGTTTCACCGTTAGTCACTGGCGACCATCTCCATCCCCAAACTTTAGCAATTGCTAAATTAAGTGAGTTGGAGTTTATGTTTTCTAGCAATCGCTAGGGATGTAAGAGTACTTTCAAATTTAGCAAGATTGCTAAATTAGAAAGTATTTTAGCAATGCCATATAGGTAATTGTTGTCTTTTTTATTTTTCTTACTTACAAACTTTTCAATTGCAATGTGTTGAGGTTGGTTGAAGTAATAGATGAGGCCCACATTAGAAATTGCTAACATAGTTTAGGGATGTAGATAACTACAAATTGTGAAGTGATGAATTGCTAAAATTAATGATGTGACTGTAGGGACCACATTTAGAAATGGCTAAGCAATTTTAGGAGAAAAACTTTAGTAGGCAGGGTGCACCAGCATGGAATAGTGATGTGGTGCACCGAGTACGAGTTAATCACATCCCACCACGTGGCATTTAATTATGAAAAAGAAATATTGAAACATAATATTCCCTATTATTTTGCTGCGTTGCGTTCTTGTGGTTGCGGGAGACTTGACGCTCCTCTTGGACCTTTTTCATTTAGGGATAACCATAGAGCAAGAAAAGGATGAGCTTTGAGGAAAAGACTATCGCACTGCACTTCTTTCTCAGTGGCCGGTGCAAAATTGATCTGGATTCGAGAAATAATTTAAATCTATGCACAGTGATTCGTCATCCTCGTACGTGAGACTGAGCTAGTTTGTGGGGAGATCTTGAGAGCTTGATGATGGTGGAGATCAGTGAAGTCAAAATTGCGAATTAAAACGTAAAAACTTACGTTTTTACGTATCCAGGCCACCAAAAAGTTTCAGTTTCTACCTAAAGTCGCTTAGTCACAAAAACTGGTAAAAACGTGGGTAAAATCGGTAAAATCGCTTAAAATCGGTAAAATCGCGATTTTGAAGTGTTTTTATACGATTTTGTTCATCTCATAAAAATGTGCTAATTGGCCTAAAATGATGTAATTTTGGAGACATATCAGCAAAAAATAAAAAAAGGAAAACATGATTCATCACTCGTTCTACAAATAATGTCGAGATAGGGGCTTCACATTAGGTTGAAAAGACACCTAATAATATTCTCAACAGCCGCTGACCTTCTACCAGTCTTCTCCCTTAATCTTCACCTGTGGCTCTTACCAAGGTTACGATAAAAGTTTATGGGTAATTGATCATATGTAATTATGTAAAATCAAACCAGCTTATGAGAATTTGGATTCTCAAGCTCGTTTACGGGTACGATCTACATTTATGAGCTTAGTATTAAGATGTTATGAGTTTTCTCTACTTTTGAGTCAACACAAATTATTTTATGTGTTAGATATTACATTTTAATTATGAATTTCATGTAGTTATTCACTTATCTAAAATCTACGCACTCACATTTTACATACTATATGTTGTACTTAACATATTTTAGCTATTTTAGCGGGCGCGTAAAAAATTTACGCTTTTACGCTTTGATTCTACGTTTTACGATTTTACCCATTTCCGCTTATAGGTAGAATCGCGCTTTTAACTGCATTGGTGGAGATTGCTCATTCTTCCTTCATTAACCGCTTGAATTCTTATGCCGGGAGGAGGTTTTTCAATACGGCGGAGATAGGACGCAAATCAGAGAAGCGATAACTCAGGCCCAATCAAGATCGGCTTTTGCGTATCGAAATTCGAGATGTTCACACCAATCTCGCCGCCTCGTCTCTAATCTTGATCTCCGGCGAGGAGTTGATTTAAGCAATTCAAGTTTGGAAAACAGAGGTTGTTTCATTGTTCAGTTAGTTCGAAAAACAGAGGATGTTTCAAATAGAATAGAGGAGTTGATTTAAGCAATTCAAGTTGCGGGAAGATAAGTTTTCCATGATTTTCTCTATTGGTCTGCCGAATTTGATAGTTCTAGCATAGGATTGAATTATCGGGCATGGCTATTTATTTGATGTGAAACAGAGGCTTGCTCGTTAACTTCATTGTTTCAGATGCAACGCAACAAAATAAAAGGAAAGTTTATTTTTCATAACTAAAGGCCAGTTGGAAGGACGTGATTGGCTCGGTGCACCACATCACTAATTCATGCTGGTGCACCCGGTCTTAGTCTCCATTAACTCCGTCAGTTTTTTGATGACATGCCAAACGGAACTGCTGACTAGACCGTTAATTTAATGATAATTGACCGTCGTGAGTCCGTTTTCGCCAGGTAGAGGAGGATAATAAACCAGAGTTCTCGCCAGCGACCACCACCACAACTGTTGCCACGTCGATGCCTCGATCACAGGAAGAGAGAAGTATTTCTGGTCGTTGGTCAAGGAGTCAAGGAGATCAGGCTGAAGGAAGTATGTGCCTATCGTTCCCCGGTCATTGAGGCGATTTGCCTCTGTCTCTAGCTGCCACAACAAGCTAATCAAGATTGATGGTGTCAGGAAAGAGGTGGAGGTTGTTCCTTTCCCCAGATTAATCGTGTCGATGAAAAAATTGGAGAAGAAGGCAAATAGCACTGGCGGTCTGGAGCTGAAGAAGGTTGTCAATCGGTGGACGACAACCTTTCGGATCTCGCCGTCGATGTAGTAGGGGAATTTTTAGTGGGAGTGAGGGGAGGAGGCCATGGAGTCACTAGAATATGAGGAGTCAAGGTTGCCGACTCCGACGATCTCTATTCCAACCATTTTTTTTCCTTCAAAGTTCTACTTGATGCCTTCGTTCAACCTCAGTTTTCCCTGCTGAAACCACCATCAAAGGATAGATTATTGTGACAACTACACGAAAACATCGGGCACACACCTTGGCGAACCGACATGGAGATGAGATCTGAATCAATTAAATCGACTTCGAACATGTCACCGTCCCGTCCGGTCTCATCGTTGGGGAGCATGTCACAAGCAGGAAAAAAGCCAGAGCGCAAATCATTAAAAAAATTCGCCGGGAAATACTACATGTCCGTCCCCACTGTGAAAAAAGTCGCCTGGAAAATCTCGGTATCCATCGTCGGAGATATGACAACAATGATGGGTTGTGGAGGACGATGGGGACGCTTTCACAATCTAAAGCTGCTTCTCGTTCCCTTTAGTAAGGATCTGTTCAGCCAAGATCTTTGTTCACGGGCTAGGTTGGGACATCACTGCCGATACCTTAACTGTCGCCTTCAAGCAGTATGGAGATATTGAGGTTTGCAAGGCGGTGAGCCGTTGACGGGCAAGGTTTCTGAGAAATCCAAGGGCATGGTTTTATTATTTTCAAGAGGAAAAGTGCAGCTCGGAAGGTGTTAGGGAATCAAAAAAGGTATGATTTTTTATTTAATTTTTTTTTATAAATGATGTGTCATTAAGTCAATGGTCCCGTCAGCAGTTCTATTTGCCACTTCATCAATAAATTGAAGGAGTTAACGGAGTTTAACGGAGACTAACGGCCAGTGACTAACGGTGAAATGATTCGTAAAATTAGTGACTAATAAGAAAAAAAATAATTTGAATGATAAATGTGAAAGATTTATATAATTTGAGTCCAATGACTCTTTATATAAACTTGAAAGTTTTGTCACCATTATGTAATTATCCTTACACCTTGCCTCATCTCCACCCCACTTGGCCCATTTTCAGCCCCGTTTTCACGCCGCATGCCTACTAAAGTCTAAAACCCAGCACTCGTCTCATTGAGAATTTAAATACACACACAGAACAGAAAAGAGAAGGCCACATATTTTGAGAGAGAGAGAGAGAGAAATCATGGATTCCATGGGGCACGGCGGCATGTCAGGCATGGGCGGCGGCTCTCCGGCGAGCAATATGACGACGATGATGCAGCATCCGACGAAGAAGATGATGATGCACATGACTTTCTTTTGGGGGAAGAACATGGAGATGCTGTTCGCCGGCTGGCCTGGATCTCGCACCGGGATGTACGCGCTCGCCTTGGTCTTCATCTTCTTCCTCTCTTTCCTCGTCGAGGGCCTCTCCCACTCTCGATTCGTCAAGCCGTCCGGGCCCAACTCGTCCTCCTCCTCCGTGGGCCTGGCCCAGACCCTAGCCCACACGGTTCGGGTCGGGCTGGGCTACCTGGTGATGCTGGCGGTCATGTCTTTCAACGGCGGCGTGTTCCTGGCCGCCGTGGCCGGACACTCGCTGGGGTTCTTGCTGTTCCGGAGTAGGGTTTTCAAGAAACCTGATGATCAGCCTCCTGCTAAAACAGTTGCTGCTCTCCCTCTCCACCATTAAAGAAGACCAAGCTGTGATATTTTGTTGGAGTATTAATTGCGATTTTGCCTTGATATTGTAAAAATCATAATAATAGTAATTAATGTCGCAATGAATGATACTTCACATGGTTTTCTGTGGTAATTTTCGAATTCGGGTTTATAATATGGTCGACTTTTAATGGTTCGATGCTGTTCCTGCAAAGTATATGATATCGGATGTTTTTGAAAATGCGATTTAGTTTCATTTTCTTTGGACAGTGTTTGCTTGACTAAGTACAAATTATAGATACAAAGTCTTGTGGAGGAAAAAGGGGGAAAAAAAGTGATATTTAATAATATTTTCTAGAAGATGGAATTCCTTTTCGAGGATGTCTTTTACAAAAGTTACGGGACGATTAACTTTTTACACGTAATAGTTCAACCAAACCAAACCTACTAGCTATTTTTTACATAAAGAATATGGGTAATCTTAAGAGAATAAATACAATGATACTAACAGTGGCTGATCCAAAATTTTTTGTTGGGTGTCCTCTTCCAAAAATTATATCAAATAATTAAATTAAATAATACATAAATAATAAAATATCGGGTAAATTGCAAGATTGGTCACTGAAAGTGCTAAAATATTTACGTCTAGTCACTAAAATAATTTGTATTTCATTCATGGTCACTGAAAGTGCTTAACGTTTCACGATTGGTCACTCTCCGTTAGTCTCCGTCCGTCTCCGTTAATAAAGTTCGTTATATGCTGACGTGGCTAACAGAATTGCCCAATCAGCCTAATTTAACAAAGAAAAAAAGAGACCCGACCCGCCATGTCAAATTTCTCCCAACCCAACCCGTGAAACGAGCTGACCTAAGAACAACCCAATAAAATTGAAGAAACAGAGGGGCCATTTTCCCGATCCATCTCCTTCTTCCCCAGACTCTTCCTCTTCCCTTTTCTGCAAAATTCGACAGAGGCCACCTTAGTTCTTCTTCATCGCGCCTCTTCTTCTTCCTCTATTCCACCCCACTTGAAACACTAAATCCACTCGCATCTCTCTTTTCTCCCACCATCAGCTCGCCGCTTCATCAATCTTGGCCAGGCATTGCTTGAATCTGCCATAGAGTCACCGAATCGCAACAACAACAAAATTTGCAGAACCCACTGTCCTTCCACCTCTGCATCTGATACGAAGACATCGTCGATGAGTCTAGATTTTACGGGGTGAACATGAGCGTGGGGAGATGTTATGCCATCCCGACGAGCACGGCGAATCACCACAAACACATATCGAACGGTTTCAGTATCTGGGTTTCTCAGAAGCTTTAAAAGAGGCGAAGATGAGAAGCAAGCGGCGACAGTGACCAAGAAGAATATCTACCGCAAAATCCCCCACCGCCGTTGGTGAATCGTTAGAAGATCGCCTCTTTGGATCCTTATTCTCATACCAGATCCCCAATCGTGGTATGCTATATTCCTGATTCTTCCCCCTCTAGCGTGAGCAAAACCTCAACAGCTCCCAATCGTGGTCTACTCTGGTTTTTTGGCCAAAAGTGCAAAAAATTGTCTTCTCCGCTCAATTCAAGATGGGTTTGGTTGTTCAGATTTTCATAAGGAGAAGTGGGTTGAGAGAAATTTCTTGAATCTAGGCGAGACCGAGTCTGATTCCTCATCCAATAGAAATTTCCATGATGATGATTGATGAGGCAACAATGAAAGGAGAAGAAGAAACTGAGATGGAGATTTAAATGTGGAAGAAAAAGAAGAGGAGAGGGAGGGGTCGGGTTATGTGGTTTGGTTGAATTATGTGGGATTTTTTTTATGTGGCGGTTTTTCTTACGTGGTTGGTCAAATTATATGACGTGGCAGGCTTAAATTGGGTGAATCTGCACTGCTGTTAGCCACGTCAGCAAAATACTAACGGTGTTAACGGAGATGGATGGAGACTAACGGAGAGTGACCAATCGTGAAACGTTAAGCACTTCCAGTGACCACGAATGGAATAAAATTCTTTTAGTGACCAAACGTGAATATTTTAACACTTCTAGTGACCAACCTTGCAATTTACCCATAAAAATTCTTATTTATCGCACTAAATATGATAATTTTAAACTAATGCCCTTAATTTATTTTTGTCTTTCAAACACTCGTCGCCGGAATCAGCCAACCTTACCGGAGGCCCAATCATCGTCGTCACTGAAATATCCTTCCTTGTATATATCTTAGTTATGATTGTATTAGCATATTAGGTTAGACTTCTCGTAAGAAATAAAATTATAGATTAACATGAGATGATTAACCCTGCTTTAAGAATTTTGTCATGTACCGCTAAAAGACCAGCAGTTCTCCTTTCTCCTTTTGCTCGACAGTAATATAAAGAATATCAGCAGGGACCGGTTGCCGGAGAAGAGCGTTCTTGGGGCGGCGGCGGGGAGCAGTCTAGGGCGGCGACGGTAGGGACCTTATTTTGCCCAGAAGTGAGGGTCGGATTGGACCTTGGGGTTGAGGGGAGGGACTGTTTTCTAGGGTTTAGATTAGAATTGGGGTTGGGTAAATATGTCAATTTAGTGTGGTTTAGGGCGATTTTTTTTTTAATTTTAGGGCGACAAATAGCGATTCAGTAAAATACCCAATTAGTACAAATATTGATAAAAAGTCTCGACGTTTTTTCATATTTCGAAAAAAATATAAGATAGATTTGGTGTCTACACTGCTCAACAAATCGGTATATCCTACTAGATCGCATATTCAATTTCTAACCTTGTTCATGATGTAATTCAAAGTTGAAAAGACTACTTCAACACTTGTAGTGTAACCATAAAATCAATTCAAATTAGGGGCACCCCTAGGGATAAGAAATCGTGTTTTTACCATTACATAGTGTTTAAAATCGAACAACAAATGATTTATAGCCTAATGGAGAAGATGTTGAATAATAGGAGTGTCCTAGATTTGAATAACGCAGAGTACCACTTATATTTTTTTAATTATACGCAAACTACTATCGAGGGTAAGATAATCGTTTATTAAAATTTTAGGGGTGTCCCAGATTATCAATTATATTTTGTTTATCCATACGAAACTACTACCAGGGGTTGAATAATCGTTTTACCAAAATTTAGGGGTGTCCCGGGACACTCCTAAAGCACCATGTATCCGCCACTGAATACGGGAAACTCTAATTTTCTGATCTGTTTCAGAAAATTTGTAATATAATTTAATAAATCTGTGGTTCCATATGGAAATTACACAATAGTTCATTTCATCCAAATCAAAATGAACTAGATAGGGGAAGTGTTAGGACCATGTTAGGATAACATATTTATTAAGGTTATTAACTTATTATAGTTACCTCTCATTCATAGGCCATAGCAACTCCCTTCCTTTTCCCCTCTCTTTTGTTTGGGTTTCATAGAGAAATTATAATTAGGTACCTAAACATAATATAGTTTAAGATTTAGTACATGGATCTTTTTTGCATATAATTCCTAATATTGATGAAATTTTCATTTTAATACCTAAAGATTTTAACTTACATTTTTTATGAATGATTTTATGTCTTACATTTTGATACTTAAGCTTTTTAAAATTTACATATAAATCCACGCGTATGTGATAACAAGTATGCCCTTCTTTTATAATTGTGATCAACGCCTTAAAAATAAGAAATTTATTAAAAAAAATATGTCTATTAACTTAAATTAGTGTTAACATGCGCTAACAAATAAATGTTAGTAACCTAACCTCTCTCCAAACAAAACCTACTATTTATTTTTCACAAAAAGAATATGGGTAATCTGAAGAAATACAATGATAAAGCAAACTCTACCTATGTTCACACGTTTATCGGATTGTTATGTAAAATATAAATACATTAAGTAAAGTTTATTAAATGGCATTTAATTTTCGTGTAAATTATAATCAATTATGTTTAAATAATAAAGTAAATTTTTATGAGATTTGAAATTGGTAATAATCAAGTAAGTTGGCCTTCTAAAGTTTGAAAATCCAATTTATATAATTATTTTGCTTAATAAGACGTCGAATATCTTTCTCTTTGACATCTTCATTGTTACATAATATGATAAATTATTAGGAGCACTAGGAGGGTGGATGGGATACGTTGACATCCCTCAAGGGGTTGTGAGTTTGACAACCAATGGTAATTTGGGTAGTGTAAAAAGAATCTTATTAATTACTTTCCTTTTATATTAATTACATTTTGGAAATTAAAATACATATTAAATTCATTTTTTTAATTTAAAATTTAAATCCTATCACAAATATATTTCTCTCTCTTCCTATCTCTTTCTTCCTTTTTCCAGGAGCCACCGACCGGCTGATTTTCTCCGACCGGCAGACTTTCTCAGGTGAAATCCTTTAATCACACTCGCTCCGGGAACCTTCAAAAAAGTATCACTCCGTCAATGCACTAATGGTAATGATTTTTGTCTAGTGGTACGTAAAATACCGAAGGTATCGTACCAGTGAATACTGGTACGCTATCACTAGTCACTGGTACGATACCACTAGTCATTGATACGTACCAGTGAGTAGTGGTAGCGTACCAGTAGCGCCTACCAGATGGTAGTAGTACCAAACGATAGTGGTACGCTACCACTAAGATCTGGGCACTACCATATGGTAGTACCACTAGCAGCTACCAGAAGCTAGTGGTACGCTACAAGATGAAAATCAGTACCACTAGTCTAAAATAATATTAAAAAAAAATCTGAAAAAAGAAAGGATGACGAAAGGGGGAGTTTGTGACATCGCGTAGGGACATCGTGGCAGTGGTGGTGGGAGGCAGAGGCGGCGTCTCGTCGGAGGGATGGCGATGCAGCGGTGGTGGGAGGGCGGCGAGAGGGCTGCGGCAGTGGTGGGAGGCGGAGGGCACGACGAGGCGGTGGGAAGGCTGCGGCGCGGGCCTGTGGCAATGCCGTGGTGGGAGGCGGAGGGCGCAACGGTCGGCGGGAGGACTCCGGCGGTGTTGGCAGAAGAGAGAGAGAGTGAAGAGATGGGAGGAAGAAGAA